AATTGTCCGGCTGAGCGATCCCAGAGCAAGGAAGATGCTCCCCCAGACTATAATTCAAGGGGCTGAATGGCACTCAAAAACTGAGAGCAGAGAGTAAAAAAAACAGAAGATGAGGCAAATGATGGAACAGATGTGAGTGCTTTTGTTGGGAAGACTTGGAGGCTAGCAGGATGGCGATAGGCTAATTTGAGGCACATAATGCCAGGTTCCTTTCATATGCAGAGTAGCACTTTGATCCAGTGTGGATGAAAGTACTGAAAAGTGGAGAAGATGGCAGGAGGTCTTTTGTCTTTGACAAAAAAGGCATCTGCCGGGCTCTAACCCCCTTTTCCCCACCCCCTTAGCGTAGCAGGCCACTCCAACAATGCTAGCAAAGGGGACAAGTGTCTCCTGACAGCTGAAGAAATCTCCAGGAGGAGAATGAAGCTTGCAGCAATATGTATACCAGAGAGCTTAATCGATTTTTTCCACAGTACAAAAAGAGAGAGAGTTGGGGGAAGACAGAGAGATCACAGTGGAAATGGGAGGTGGGAGGAAAAAAATCCCTTTCTAATAAACTTGTTACTTTTGTTCTCCAACTACATCTTTTCAGGAGATGCTTTGATGCTAGTATGAATACATTTAATGGAGCAGAGTAGGGTGGAGTTGCTGCGGGGGGAGGTGTGAACTAAGGAAGAATAGTTTTGCAAGGAGGATGAATGTGGCGTGATTTCTGTGGATTCCAACACAGGAAAGATGTTGGAATTGGTAAAACTGTGCAATGCAAGAGATACCTGGAAGACAGAGGCATACTTTCTGTAGCACCTGTTGGAGGAGCTCAGCTCAGCACAAATTCTTGATTTAGATTTCTAAGCAAAGCTGAACACTTCTCTTCAACCTTTCCTTCTTTTCTCTTGTCTTCTTAACTCCTTGTACTTACTAGAAATGAAAGGACTGCAGGATTGATTGGCGAGCTAGAAAGGCAAGCAGTATTTGTGCCAAGCAAATATAGCAGTTGCATGATCTGGTCTGCTTCTCATGCTCTGTTTACATCTAGTAAACAAGCCTGGGATTCGATCTGTGGAGTTTGATGGCTGTGGTCTTCCTTAAGTATCACTTTGCACCTAGTCTAATGTTTTCTTTGAGAAATAATGACAGATAAGAGTTATCAACCTCTGAGCAAGACTCACCTCAGCAAATTAAATCCTTTAAGAACAGCAGGTTCAGGAATCTTCCCTCTCTTGAGATCCTGGCAGTGTTTATCCATTCCTATTTACTGAAGATAACCTTCTCACCAGGGCAGAGCTTTAAGCAACACCTGGTACTGCAAACAGTTCCTCCCTCTTTAGTCCCCCCACACTGCTTCTCTTTCTGCCAGGGAGTTACAACTCCCCCAAGAAGGTACAAGCAATACAGAAATGTGGAGAAGCTATAACCTTCCTTTTAGAGGCTCTAGACACACACTGTTCCCAAATTGTAATCCTGTCTAGATGTTCAGTAGGTGTGCCATGATCCCCCTTCAGCAGATGCCACCACTCTGTTCAGACCAGCTGATGCGGAGAGTGTTTTTGGCAACAGCATCTCCTGCCCTCCAGCTGTGCAAAGCCTGATGAGTTACCATAACTCATTAGGGAAGGCTAATCATTAAGGACATTAGTGCTCTTTTGATTTCTCCCCATTTGTCATATCTTGATTTCTCTTTCTCCCGGTGCTTGGGCTGTGGTTGAGAATGGTGCAGAGGGACTTGAGCTGCTGCTGCTGTCATCAAAGGAGCTGAGACCAGCTCTGCCCCTCACAACATCAGGGTGAAAGTTCCCTCTCTGGGTGGGCTTCAGGTAGCTCCTGTGTGACTTCTCTTTGAGATGCTATGTACAATGATAGGATGCAGGTCTAGATCCAAATAGGAAAAGGTATTGCTCATAGGGAAGTCTGATGTGGCAGGGAATAGCCCTCTGTAGTCTTCATGCCAAAGGAAAACAGCCCATGCAGTGCCACACAAACCCACCGACTGGGCGGTGGGTCCATGGTAGCATCCTTGATGCTCTGTCCTTCGGCAGTCGTGGTCAGGATGGGGTGTAGGAGTCTTGGGCAGTGAGCTTGGACACTTTCTTTGTTCCTTGATGTGAAACATGAACCACCTAATTGTGAAAGGTCTTTCTTTCTTCCCCAGCTGGGAAGGCAAGCCCTTCAGGTGCTGCTATCCTGAAATTTCTTCACATGACTAGTATAAACTCTCCCACCTCCACACCAGAAAGATGTACTCTTAACAAAGACTGGAGAGCTGCCAAAGCTACCTCGCCAGGACAGCTTTGTGTCATGCCAGCAGTAAGGTTAGATATATAAACGGGGGCAGGGAGTGAGTTGCCTCTATTCCTGTGAGATATGTGCGGTAATCTTCCATATCTGCAGGTAGTCATTGCGGTTTTAAACTGTGGTCTGGAGATAGATTTATTAACCTGTTTGCAGTTTACGGTGTGCTAGTTTCTTATGGCCAGTGGGTGGGCATGAGGAAGGAAGTTGCCTGTGTGGCTTGACCGGGCTGCTATGGTCCAGGCCATGTCTGCTTGTCAAAGAGACTGAATCTGTTTCACCTGAAGCACACTGCAAGGAAGGAGAGAGGCGATGTGCGTGGAGCAGAGGGTAGCATGCAGAGCAAGTGACAGCAGGAGTGCAGGCTGCAGGAGACAGCGTAGAGAGGAAGATTTGCTTTGTTCTCACATCTTGCACAGCAGGCTGGTGCTTTCTCCACAGAAGCCAGTTACCCTCCACTGATCTGTGTTCGGATGAAAATCCAACAGTAAAGATTGCAAAGCCTGTTTGATGTGCTTACTCTACATTGAGGCAGAGCTACCTGACCAGCTCAGGAGACCGTCAACAGGTCTTATTCCTGCTCTATAGACAGGGACTACCTGGTCATCGTTTCAGAGGCTGCAGAGTCTAGAAAGGAACATATTGCTTTAATGGTAAATTGTCCAAGCGGATGCTGCTATGATAGTCAAATAGCTTAAAAAATAAGCCATTCCCATGGAAGTGCTTTTGGCCGGACAGATTGTACATATGAGATTTTCCTGGCACGACCTAGCAGTCCTGGCTGTAGAAACCCTGTATTTTCAGCATGGATTTGGCTTTTCTCTCAGTGAATCTCGTCTGGTCATTAACATCCATTAGGGCTTCTCTGTGTGGGAAGTGAAGCCAAACAAATGGAAAACAGTGGCTTGGGACTCCGATAAATCCCAGCCTGCATGCAAACTTTTGTTCAGACATAACTGGTTTCAATTAGTTTTTGTTTAATTTACTTCCACATTAAACAGAGGTCCTTTGCAAGATGGCCACTGGTTAGTCTGATGTAACTTTCCTGAGTATCTGTCTGCATGTATTCTTTTAATCAGGTGCAGTTTGTACCAACAAAGTGAATACTTGCCCTTTTTAAAAATAGGAGGTGAGACTAAATGTTGATATTCCTTAACACCCTTCCAGAACTAGTACTAAGTTATGTGCTTTCATATTCGGTTAAATATACAGTGGCTTGCATTCAGATGGACAGCTCTGGCTGTAGTGGGGACAGTGTGATTTCAAGTTTGGTGGAACCTGCACCTTTGTGTAGAAGACAGGTCATTGTGCTGGGGGAGGCCAAATTACACCTATGTGTTCCCACAACTCTACTGTCCCGTAATCCCAGATTTGGTGGACATAAACTCCGTACATTAAAAGTATGCTTTACTCGTGTGTGAGTTTCGTGGTGTTGGTGAATATCTCCAGTTCCAGAGTGCTTTTGATCGTACTTGAGGCAAATATCCGGGAGGAGTTACTTATACAAAGCCCTCATCAGGCTGTGGAGAGCCACCAGAGCTTGGAAAGCAACCCTCCTGAGAGTAGCTTTTGAAATGTGTTTCAAGACCTCAGCAATATCTCTCAGCTTACTTCCTTTAGAAGTAAAAACGGCAAGCCGATAGGTAGTAGGAGGGCTTCTTACTGCTGCCTAGTCTTGGTGTGCAGACCAGCGGTAGCTTGAGTAAGTGCTGTCTTCAGGATGCATGGCTGTGTTTTACTTTTGTCTGTACTGACGGTGAGCCTGCGCTTAGCCCGGGGAGGTTCTGCCCCGCGTCCTTCCTGGCTCCCTGCCTTTCTGGTGACTGCCTGCTGCAGCAGCTGGAGCAGTGAAGGAGAGTTGCAGAGGTGCTGCCTCGCCTGTTTGGCTCCAGAGGCCCCTGCCAAGTGTTGCTCCAAACTGCTCTCTTGTGCCTTTTGAGCGAAGGTCACCTCACCGGTGTGCGTTGCCCAGGGCGGGAGGCAGCTGGAGCAGCTCTCTGGGTCAGGACTTGAGGGCACTGCCCTGGGAGCCGTGCTGAGCTGGAGGTGGGGAGCAGCAGCACCTGGAGGAGACCTTTGCTGATCTCCCTTTCTGCTCAAGGGGGAGGCTCCCCAGGGGTGGGAGCTGCGGCAGCCACGCTGGTCCAGCTTGAGGCGAAGGGAACGGGGGGGTTTGGGTTCCCAGGTGGGCGCCCC